GCCCTAGTTCATCACTCTAAGAGTCCCTGTGGATTAGTGTCCCAGGCCCAACTATCTTCAGCTACTTCATCAAAGATCCATCATAAGATTAGAAATGAGAATGCTTGCCTCAGATATTGAAGCAGTCTATGTTCAAATGCAGCAAGACATAGACGATATTCAGGCTTGGGCTGATAAATGGTAAGTAATGTTTGCACCATTCAAGGCACAGGCAATAACCATCCACAACAAGGAGAATCCTACCATCTCTTTTAGACATTTAGTAATATCACCATTATCAACATCCTAGGAGTTACCGTGGACCAGAAACTGAACTGAATCACCCAATATTGTTTCTTTTGTAAATCTACAATAGCGAGTTCAGTATTTTTTTTATTACATGTTTTATTGAGATCTGTCTCTTGATTAAACTTTAGAAGTATAAAATATAGGTACTAAGTTAGCCTAGAGCAGTATACTTAGACCAGTAAGCCTGTGCTATTTTCAGGGTCTGTAGATTATTAAGGTGCAAAGATGGCCTCTAGTAGAGTGATGTGCTCTTCGTGTTGGATGTGGAAGATTAAGGAGAGTTTCCATGTTACTGATGATTATATCTGCAGGAAGTCTGTCTGGTTGCGAATCCTATCAGATCACATAGATTGGTTGGAACCGCAGTTCAAGGTAATGAGGAATTTACAGGAGCTAGGGGCTAATAGTCGGCAGTTGCAGGAAGGGAGATAAACCGAAGATACAGTCAGGTGGATCGGTTACCTAGGTAGGCAGGAAGTACAGAAGTCTCCTGTCACTATCCCCATCCCAAAAACGTATGCTGTTTCAGAAAATGGAGGGGGTGATGGACTGTCAGGGGACTATAACACTGACAGCCAGGTTTCTGGTACCGAGCCTGGCTGTAATGTAACGAGAGGTATGTCAGGTTCCAAGCGATCGAATGTGATAGGCAACTGTCTAGTCAGATGCACAGCCAGACATTTCTGCAGCCAACAACGAGACATCAGAATGGTGCATTGCCTCCCTGGTGCCAGGATCAAGGATATCTCAGAGAGGGTGCAGAATATTCTCAAAGGGGAGAGGGACCAGCATGCAGTCATTGTACACATTGCAACTAACACAATGGGACAGAGTTCTGAGGAGAGAATGTAGGAAATTAGGCAAGAATTTAAAAAGCAGGTCCTCGAGGGTAGTAATATCTGGAATACTCCCGGTGCCATGAGCTACTGAGAGTAAGAATAGGAGAATAGAGCAGATGAATACGTGGCTGTGGAGCTGGTGCAGGGGGGAAGGATTGACGTTTTTGGATCATTCAAATCTCTTCTGGGGTAGAAGTGACCTGTATAAGAAGGACAGATTGCACCTGAATTGTAAAGGGACTAATATACTGGCAGGGAGATTTGCTAGAGCTGCTCGGGAGGATTTAAACTAGTACGGGGTTGGGGGGATCCAGGGAGATAATGGAAAAAGAGATCAGTCTGAGACTGGTGCAGCTGGAAAAAGGAGCAAATCAAACAGTTGGGGCAGACAGGAACAAAGCGGAGAACATGGTAGGACTGAAAAATTAAACTGCATTTATTTCAATGCAAGAGGCCTAACAGGGAAGGCAGATGAATTCAGGGCATGGTTGGGAACATGGGACTGGGGTATGATAGCGATTACAAAGATGTGGCTCAGGGATGGACGGGACTGGCAGCTTAATGTTCCAGGGTACAGATGCTAAAGGAAGGATAGAAGGGGTGGAGTGCAAGAGAGGCGGGGGAGTGGTGTTTTTGCTTAGGGATAACATTACGGCTGTACTTAGGGAGGATATTCCTGGAAGTATGTCCAGGGAAGTTATTTGGGTAGAACTAAGAAATAAGAAAGGGATGATCACCTTATTGGGATTGTGCTATAAACCCCCCAGGAGTCAGTGGGAAATTGAGAAACAAATGTGTAAGGAGATCTCAGTTATCTGTAAGAATAATAGGGTGGTAATGGTAGGGGATGTTAACTTTCCAAAAATAGACTGGAACTGCCATAGTGTTAAGGGATTGGATAGAGAGGAATTTATTAAGTATGTACAAGAAAATTTTCTGATTCAGTATGAGGATGTACCTACTCCAGAAGGAGCAAAACTTGATCGACTCTTGGGGAATAAGGCTGGGCAGATGACTGAGGTGTCAGTGGGAGACAACTTTGTGGCTAGTCATCATCATTCTGTTAGTTTTAAAATAGTGATGGAAAAGGGATTGAAAAGGGACCAGATTGAAAAGCTAAATTCCTAAATTGAAGGAAGGCCAATTTTGACAGTGTTAGGTAAGACCTTTCAAAAGTTGATTGGGTATGAGTATTTACAGGCAAAGGGACAGGTTGAAAATGGGAAGCCTTCAAAAATGAGATAACAAGAGTCCAGAGACAGTATGTTCTTGTTAGGGTGAAGGGCAAGGCCGGTAGGTGTTGGGGATTCCGGAAAACTAGAGAAATTGAGGTTTTGGTCAAGAAAAAGAAGGAAGCATATGTCAGGTATACACAGCAGGGATCAAGAGAATCCCTGGAAGAGTATAAAAGCAATAGGAGTATACTTAAGACGAAAATCAGGAGGGCAAAAAGGGGACATAAGTTAGCTTTGGCAAATAGGTTTAAGGAGAATCCAAAGAGATTTTACAAATACATTAAGGATAAAAGAGTAACGAGGGAGAGAACAGGGCTACCTATGTGTGGAACCGGAGGAGATGGAGGGGATATTGAACAAGTATTTTGCATCAGTGTTTACAGTGGAGAGGATATGGAAGCTAAATAACTTGGGGAAATAAATAGTCACATGTTGAAAAATGTCCATATTACATAAGTGAATGTGCTGAATGTCCTAAAACGCATAAAGGTGGATAAATTCCCAGGACCTGATCAGGTATACCCTAGAACTCTGTGGGAAGCTAGGGGAGTGATTGTTGGGCACCTTGCTGAGATATTTGTATCATCGATAGCCACAGGTGAGGTGTCAGTACACTGGAGGTTGGCTAATGCGGTGCCACTATTTAAGAAAGGTACTAAGGAAAAGCCAGGGAACTACAGACCAGTGAACCTGACATCAGTGGTGGGCAAACTGCTGGAGAAATCCTGAGGGACAAGATTTACATACATTTGGAAAGGCAAGGACTGATTAGGGATTGTCAACATGGCTTTGCACCTGGGAAATCATGTCTCACTAATTTGTTTGAGTTGTTTGAAGAAGTAATGAAGAGGATTGATGAAGGCAGAGCAGTGGACATGATCTATGTGGACTTCAGTAAGACATTCAACAAGGCTCCACATGGTAGACTGGTTAGCAAGATTAGATCACATGGAATACAGGGAGAACTAGCCATTTGGATACAGAACTGGCTCAAAGGTAGGAGACAGAGGGTAGTGGTGGAGGGTTGCTTGTCAGACTGGAGGCCTCTGACCAGTGGTGTGTCACAAGGATTGGTGCTGGGTCCACTGCTTTTCATCATTTATACAAATGCTTTGGATGTGAACATAGGAGTTATGGTTAGTAAATGTGCAGATAATACCAAAATGGGTGGTGTGGTGGACAGCGAAGAAGCTTACCTCAGAGTTCAATGGGACCTTGATCAGAAGAACCAATGGGCCGAGGAGTGGCAGATGGAGTTTAATTTAGATAAATGTGAGGTGCTGCATTTTGGAAAGGCAAATCAGGGCAGGATCTACCCGTTTAATGATTAAGGTCCTGAGGAGTGTTGCTGGTTCATAGCTCCTTGAAAGTGGAGTCGCAAGCAGACAGAGTAGTGAAGAAAGCATTTGGTATGCTTGCCATTATTGGTCAGTGCATTGAGCATAGCAGTTGGGAGATCATGTTGAGGCATGCAATTCTGGTCTCTCTGCTATAGGAAGGATGTTGTGAAACTTGAATAGGTTCAGAAAAGGTTTACAAGGATGTTGCCAGAGTTGGAGGGTTTGAATTATAGGGAGAGGCTGAGTAGGTTGGGGCTATTTTTCCTGGAGCATTGGAGGCTGAGGGGTGACCTTATAGAGATTTATAAAATCATGAGGGGCATGGATAGGTGAATAGCCAAGGTCTTTGCTTCAGGGTGAGGGAGTCCAAAACTGGGGAGCATAGGTTTAAAGTGAGAGGGGGGTGATTTAGAAGAAACCAAAGGGACAGGTTTTTCACACAGAGGGTGATGCGTGTATAGAATGAGCTGTCAGAGGAAGTGGTGGAGGCTGGTACAATTACAATATTTAAAAGGCATCTGGATGGGTACATGAATAGGAAGGGTTTAGAGGGAAATGGGCCAAATGTTGGCAATGGGGCTAGATTAATTTAGGATATCTGGTCGGCATGGACGAATTGGACCGAAGAATCTCTCTAAATGAATGTCGTTGCTTCAAGGTCAGGTCAGAGGTTTGGAATTCGGCAGTGAATAATTCACCTCTTGTTCCATCAAAGCTTTTTAACCAACTACAAGGAACAAGTCAAAACTGTAAAGGGACACCATCCATTGCCCGGATTAGACCTAACAACGCTCAAGAATATCGACGCCATCCAAGATAAAGTAGTCTGTTTGTTTGGCAGTCCATCGAATACTTTCACCATTCACTTCCTGCACCACAAATAGTGGCAGGACTGTCCATTACCTGCAAGATGCACAAGAACTTGCCAAGACTCAATCGACAGCGCTTTCCAACCCTGTGATCCTGATCAAGTAGAAGGACAGAGGAACAAATACATGGGAATATCATCATTTGCAAGATCCCCTCAAAAACCCACACCCTCATGATCTGGAACTATAACACAGTTGCTCCACAATCACTGTGTCAAAATTCTGGAAATTCCATCCTAACAGCACCGATGGTCTACCTACTTCCATGGACTGCAACAGTTCAAAGTGGCAGGGTACCACTTGCTTCGCAAAGGCAAATTAGGGATGGGCAATAAATGTTTGTCTGATGCTCACATCCCAAAAGTAAATTAAAAATAAATGTTTATTATTTTCACATAAACATATCATTTTCTCAATCATTATACATACCTTGCTCCAGAGAGAACTTGTCTGTGCAATCACCTTCCAGACTTGACAAACTTGTGCAGATCTTACCAGCTCCTTAACACCAAGATAACTGAAAATCTAGAAAGGGGAAATATATTTCAAAAATAGCTATTCAAGCAACTCAAGTACACTTACTTGTTAAATGAACTTTGCAATTTTCCATATGTGCTTTCAGTTTCAACAATATTAATTCTTGAAGATTGCTTGAGAAAGTGACTTAAAACTCTTCAGTCATTTCTGACTTACCTTCAAGTAATACAGTACGCTGTATTTTGTATAATTGAATGTTTGCTGCTGATGGGTAAGAATGTCTAATTTTTTTGTACAAATCTAATTTTGGTTTTAGTTACATTTAAATGATATTTGAATTTCCCAGCCATTTTAGGGTTTCAACAAGATCTCTATTTGAAGAGCAATTGGGTCCAATTAATCAAAGATGCAGCTCAAACAAGTTCCTCTAGGTAGGTCAAATTGCACTTTTGTGTTAGGAGCATATAAACTAGCCAACTTGGTGCAACCAAACACTTAAGCACAACTTATAGTAGAGTACTAGGACTGGGTGATAAAGGGAGTCGGGGGAAGAAAAGATAGGGGTGCTCCTTTTTTTTATAACTTGTTCAGCCTACAGTAATTGATTCTTTCTCAACTACAGGAGAAGAAACTGGTTATTTGGTAAGTATCTGGTAAATGACTAAAGTTTGTTCTATCCCTACGGTTCAACATAGAGTAACAACTGGTGGTAAGGTTAGCAAAATATATAAAAATAAAAATAAATATTCAATTGAATAAAATAGTTAAGTAGTTAATTAGAACATGCTAAGGATTGCAGGATGGGTGATGTATCTCATCTGCAACATGATGGCATATCTTGATGCTTGTTTGATCCAGGGAAAATACATCTGAAATAATGTTTGAAGTTGAGCAACATCAGCTCAGTTCATAAGCTGGAGGCTGAATTATAAACACGTCAATATATCAGGAAAGGGGAAAGTTACCTGGATTATTTGCACCAGGAAGTAGTTACCCCTTTTAAGATTGGGTTGTCTAATTTGGTCTGTGTTCACAGTCAAGAGATGTGGCTGTGAGTGAGTCAGCCTTTCCAATTTTCCAAGAAGTTAGAGGTTCTTTCACTTGTCTGAAACAGAGTGGGGGCTGTAGAGTGGATAAGCTATCTGACCATGACATTGTGGTACAGGAAGACATTCAAGTGAGGGGTGGGGGCATAAAAGGAATGTAATGGTGTTAGAGGATAGTATAGACAGAGGGATTGACATTGTTCTCTGTAACAAAATGAATGAGTCCAGATAGCTGTGTTGCTTGCCTAGTCCAGGGTTCAGACATCCGGCCAGGGATAAAGGAGAATTTGCAATGGCAGGGGAGGATCCAATTGTCGGTCCTTGTAGGTAACAATGCATGTAAGAAGGAGAAAGAAAGAGGCTTGACAGAATCAACTTGAGGAGCTACGTACGAAATTAAGCAGGACCTCAAAAGCCATGATCTCTGGATTATTACCTGAGAGACATAAAAATTGGCATCAGACAAATCAGATTACAGAGAATAATGCATGGCTCAAAGACTCGTGTGGAAATAGTATAAAATGTTGCTTAGGCCATAGCTAAAGTTTTGTGTGCAGTTCTGGAATTTATAGGAGGGATGTGATAGGACTGGAGAAGATGCAGACGAGATTTACCAGGATGTTGCCTTGGTTGGAGAATTCAATTATGAAGAGAGATTGGACAAATTCAGATTGTTTTCCTTAGAGTAGAGGAGGGGTTACATAATTGACATGTATAAAATTATGAGGGGCATTGGGGGCATGGACTTAAGGTGAGGGGCAGAAGATTTAGAGTTGATGTGAGGAAAAACTTTTTCACCGGACAGTGGTGGAAATCTGGAACTCACTACCTTTGAAGGGTGGTAGAGGCAGAAACACTCACAATATTTAAGAAATATTTAGATGTGCACTTGCAAAGTCAAGGCATACAAGAACATGGGCGAAGTGCTGAAAAATGAGATTAGAATAGTTAGGTGATGAGACAAAGGGCCTTTTTCTGTGATATAGATCTCTATGTAAAAGTGGGTTCCACTTTTTGGACCACTGGTATCAAAACAGCAGAAAGTAGGATCTGTACTGACTGGACAGTCTCTACTTGTACCTGCTGGGGCCTGTATTCTTGCTAGCTACATAACTAGGGAAGTACAGAGGAATTTAAACTAAACAGTGTGGGTGACACATCGAGTTTGGATAGATATGGTAGGTCAAAGATAGAGCTAAGGCTACAGAGAAAGGTATTTGATTGAAAATGATAAACAGGAAAGGCTAAATAGTACAAATTTAAGGGTATTTACATTAAAACAGATAAAACAAGTTACAAAAAGGACCAAAGGGCAAAGTTAAGGATTCTGCATGTGAGTGCATGTAGCATTCAAAGCAAAACAGGTGAACTAAGAGCACAAATAAAAATAAACAAGTACAATCTGGTAGCCCAACAGGATGATATAGATTTCAAACTGATTCATTTAGGCCACTTAGGAAGGACAGAAAACTAGGAAAAGCTAGAGGGGTGATTCTGTTAATTAATTACAGTATTAGCACTATAAGGAGGCTTGACCCAAGTTCAGGATACTAGAATTTGAAAATGGTTCCTGTAAAGATGAGAAATGATAAAGGCAAAATATCACTTTTCTGAGTGGTATATGGATCCCTTAACAGGAACCACGTGTTAATGTAGAACATAAAGAAGGAAAAAATGGAAGCTTCTCAGAAAGGCACGATAATAATCACGGGAGATTTACATCTATACATAGATGGATAAGTCAGCGAGGCAAAGATAGTCTGGATGAGGTGTTCATAGAATGTATTTTTGATATAATATTTTAGAACAGCATGAACTGGAGCTTGCTAGATAGCAAACTATACTAAACCTAGTATTGTTTGATGAGGTAAGATTAATTAAAGATCTCATTGTGAAGATGCCCCTAAGTAACAGCGACGATAAAGTTTTACTTTCAATTTAATGGAGACAAGAGTGAGTCTGAGACTTTTTTAAAAATTTAAATAATAGCAATTTTATGAGGGCATGAAAGCAGAGCTGGCTAAAGACTTTATATCAATATTTTAAAAAGAAAACAGCTAATAAAGTGAGCAATGGTCCTGTTGAAAATGAGTCTGAAGAATTAATAATGGAATACAAGGAGATGGCAGATGAACCAAACTGGTATTTTACACTAGCCTTCACCAGAGGATATAAATAACATGCCAGAGATAGTTACAAATCAGAAAGTAAAAAGGAGGGAGAACTCAAAAAAATTACAATCACCATAAAAGTGGTTCTAAGTAAATTGTTGGAGCTGCAGGCTGCCAAGTGTGCTGGTCCTGATTAACTTCATCCTAGGGCCTTAAAAGTAGCTAGTGTGTTAGTTAATACATTGGGTTTAATTTTCTAAAACTCCCTGGATTTGGGTTGTTTTTAGGAGAAAAAGTTGAGGGGAGCCCTGAAAGAGGTGTATAACATTACGTGGGACATGAGCAGGGTGAATAGAAAGCAGCTGTTCCCCATAGTTGAAGAGTCAATTACAAGGGAGCATAATTTTAAAGTGAAAGGTAGGGGTGTTAGAGAGGAAAAATGTTTTCACTGGAGGGTAATGAGGGTCACTGCCTGGGAGAGTAGTTGACACTAAAAACCTCACAACCTTTAAAAAATACTTGGATGAGCACTTGAAGTGTCATAACTTTCAAGGCTTTGGGCCTAGTGTGGGAAAATGGGATTAATGTAGGTAGTGTATTTTGGCAGTACAGAATTGATGGGCTAAAGGGCTTCTTCTGTACTGTATGATTCTACGCAGACCAGAACTGCACCAAATCTGTGCAAGGAGATGAACGGGGCTGGCTCAAGAATGAAAGCTCATTTTAGGATGGCCTAAATGGCAGGGTACAGGTACATTTCACCTCAGTACTACTCATCCAGCATGGCAACATGCTATGGCATTCACTATGATCTGTCTGAGAACACGTCTATTAAAAACACAACCTTGAGCAGAACCATTATTACCAACTTTGTGCAGTGCACATCTGTCTAGCAATCTCAGACAACAGAGTTGGCCCAAAGACCATGAAGCAAAGATTCTTTATTCCACTGGCATCAGGTCATTACAAATCTGAAGAGAAATTAAAGTTAAAAAAGGAAGTATTTACTGAATTTAAACTGTGGTTCACATTGGATTGAGGAATCTTTTGCTTGTTCCTTCTTCCCATGCAGCCCTTCTCCCCATCATAGACATCCTTTTTCCCAGAGAGGGCCCATTTGAATGCTCTAATCAACATTCCTCACCTGCTGCTAGAGATTCCATTACACATGTCTTGCCTGAAATTTGTTACCTCAGCAAACCCACAGAGCACATAGTGAATGTTTGCTAACATTTGGGTGATTACCTGGTTCAATTGCACCATGATGGCTAAAATGGTTGAGTCCACATTAGGGGCAGCATTTTCAACTGGTATCACTAAGCTGGGCAAATGGTAAGAGTTAGGGTGATATTCAGCATTTGCTCAAGATGACCTTCTCTTACACTTATCAATACTGGTACCTTCCAAGGGATCCAGGACCTGTGCTGAATCACCCACATTCAGGTTTAGATTAGCCAGGTCTCCAGGGATCATACAACTAACGGTGTTGCTTCAGTTATTGCCTCCTGGCAGGAGCCCCTGCACCATTTTACAGGACAGGTATAAGCCTCCCCACACTGGATGCACCTCCCAGATTCACAACACACAGGTTATCTAGGATTTTGTATTCCTCTCTCACTGCACTTCACTTAATCCATAATGCACTGACACATGTTTCCATAATGCTGCTGAGTGAGTTGCTTCCTTCCACATCATCTATCAGACTTCTGGCCTCAAGCAGCTCCATTCTGTGAACCATTTTCTGACTCTGCCTTCCAGCTTTTAGTTCAAGACAAAGTGTGTGGTCGAGTGTGTCTAGCCACTATGCGAGTCCATGGAGTGTTCGTATAAGGGCAATCTTCAACAAAGAATCATGCTGCTTTTTTGTTTTATTCTTTCACGGGATGCGGGTTTCACTGTCAAAACAGCATTTATTGCCCATCCCCAAGTGGGATCAAACTCAGCAGCTTGCTCAGATATCGCACAAGGGAGTTACATGTAGACCGAACCAGCTAAGGGTGATTGTTTGCTTGTCCCAAAGGACTTCAGTGAACTGGATGTATTTTTACAATAAGCAATGACAGCAGTTGTGATTACCCAGGCTTGCTTTAATTCCAGAGTTATGAATTGAATTTAAATATCACCAGCTGCCATGGTGGGACATGAATCAATGTTCCAATGGTATTAATCTAATCCTCCAAATTACTAATCCAGTGACATTATACCACTAAGATATCTCTCACCACCACAGATACAGAGATGGTCCCTCAATCACAGAAGCTAGGGGAGCCCATTGATGTTGACATCAGAGAACTGACATATGAGCACACATTTTATATTATATTACCGATCAAAGAAAAATTGCCTTGTTCTAGGCTCCTAAGACCTTGCATCTCTGACATGAGCATATCTATGTCTGTCATCTATCCTCCAAGGGGATCCCTCCAACAGCTGCCTCTCTTACCTCCTCCTACTCTTCAAGCAGGAACACTCTTTTTAGTTGTGAGTGTATCTGTGCTAGTGAAGGATGCGCTTGAAAGATGTGACAGTGCTGGTTCTACTGCAGTTTCATTAGAGGCCCCAATGATAGGTACTGTGACAGCAAAGTATATCCCCTCTCCATGACTGCCTCTGTGGGAGACACAAAGAAGATCATGAGAACTCACCTTCGACAATTGAGACTCAAGAGAATTAAGGCTTCCCCATAATAGCTCAGATTTTTCCATATTGTTCGATAAGGAGGAGTGTACTCCATCCCCTTCATCTACAGATTTCAATATCTCTTCACCCTTTCCTCTAAGTATTCCCATATCTTCATCACCCATTTCTTCATGAAGTAGCAGTGTCTCTGTGTCCATTGTTGGACTCTAGAAATGAGAATCGCAAGCTGGTTCACATCTCCATCTGTGCACACCCTTCCCTTTGTATTCTGTGCACTTGTCTCTTGCAAGGACCAAAGAGAGAGTGATAAGGTAACACTGGCTTCTCTTCGCCAAATGCCAGCAGCTCATTTAAATAAGAAGCTGTATTAATTTCAACTTATGAGGGTATTTCTAGTAAGGCCAGAAATTGTTGCTCACCCCTAATAGCTACTGAATCAAAGATTGCTCAGCCATTGCAGAAGGCAGTTACAGGTCAACCTACAGGTCTGCAGTTACAAAAAGGTTAGATCAGATAAGCAAGTCACCACGTTTCACTCCTAAGGTTATATCATTAATGTCAATGGGCTTTGCCAAAGTGGATATTTGCAAATTCAGGCAGTGGCCCCTCAAGGGGGTCACAGTCCCACAGTCTGCTCTTCCTTTGCTGCTATGTTTGTGCCTGGATGTCTTTGGAAAGGGAAGATGCAGTGTCTACCAAAACTCTCAATGCCTTTATAGAGAGGTGAACACCGCAGTGGGTGGAGTGCCTCATTTTCCCTCTCCAGCTCCATTTTGATTTAATGCCCTGCCTCTCTCCTTGCCTCTGCTTTACCTTTGGTGCTACTGCACTGCCCTGATGGTCTTTGCAGGTAAATTGATAATTAATTGGAAACACAAATGATTTAGTGGTGGTGAATAACGGTGAAAAGTAACTTGGGTGAATTGGTGATGAGAAAAAAACCATATAGTTGTATGTGAAAGTTCTTCTGTTTATAAAAACAATAGAACATCAATGGGGTCCCCAGCCTCTATGGCTGAGTGACCATCTAAGCATCCATGCAGGCGAAATGATGGCATAGTGGTGTAATGTGCAATCTAGAGAATTAGACTAAGAATCTAGAGGCATCAATTCAAATCCTATCACAGCAATTGTTGGAATTTAAATGCAATTAATAAATTTGGAGCATAAAACCAGTCACAGTGATGATGACCATGATAGCTGTCATCGCTCTGGCTTACTAAAGCGCTTAAAGGAAAGAATTCCAGATTAGCAGTGTTTCCACATTCTCAATAGTGCTAGAGCTTTAAGCTTTGCTGATGGATCAGTAATTACTTTGGGAACACACCTCTTCCCTGTTCAGAAACACCTTGCTACTCTCAGGCTATTCAGCTGATCTTTTGCAGATTTAAGGCCTATCATCTCAGAATCATGTTGAATCACCTTGCCAGAGCAAAGAAACTCACTAAAGCAATTGCAACACTGCATCTCAATCCTTCAGACAACGTTGCAACTGCTGCAATTTTCTGCTACGTATACCTAATTTGCTGGACACCCTTCTCTTGCCATCATCCAGAAACAGGACTCTTCCCCTCTTGTATACTGATTCCAACATAACATCAAGGACTGCATCAGTAAACTGAAAGGCAGGCCTGCCACAGAAGCTAAGTCTCTGCTTAATTTCTGCTGACTTTTGTATACTATTGCTATGCACAACACCCTTCACTACAATTGCTGCTGCAATGCTTTTCAATCAGGCCTACACTTTACTCTTTCTTTATATCTAGAAGTGCTCTTACACACAACGGAACTTTTTTCTCCCCATCACCAAATCACCGTGATTTTTTCGTTTGTTTTCAGCTATTAACCACCATCGGTAAATCACCAATGTAGTCAATTAGATATTTACATGCAAAGCCTGTTGAAGGCAATGTAAACCATCAAAAATGAGGAAATGACAGCAAGATGGAGAGGAAGGTTCACAGCTGTATAGGCCTTCTTCCTTTTCATGATTTTACTTGGAATTACTTCAACTCAAGCAGGTGCCTCCCTGGTCAATGGCAGTATTCTCTCTGAACTCTTCATCCACACATTGGGTAACGGCAATGTATCAGCCTCAAATCATCTTGTTGCTTATTATCGGCTAAACTCAGATATCAATTTTTGATTTTCTGGTAGCTCCAGGCTGATTTGGGCATACCTGTGAGCTTTGAGGTGGCATTGGGAAGGTGGACATCTTCTGCCTTTTACCTATTGATTTAGTGCAGAAGAATAAGCAGGAAGCTTCCAGCTTACAAATAGTGTTTAACCATAAGGTGGGGCAGAAAGCTTGTAGCTTTAGGAAAGAATGAAAACTACATGTGAAAGTCATAAAGGCTATATTGCTGTATGGCACAGTACTGTATCAGCATTAGAGCTGCAGCATATGCCAGCAGGTTGCATAAGAAACACACTGCATATAATTGAAGAGAACAGCACTGTGTGAAAGTCAAAGGGAGAGAGTGTTTTGTAGGGCAAGGGTGGACTCCAGCAAGTCAGGGTTACCGCCATAGTCAGTCCTGAGGCAGGGCCATACCCAGTCAGGGGATTGGCCACAGATAGGTAATTGGTCCGATGCAAGTTTGGGAAATAGTATGTTGAAGTCTGACAATTTGGCCAGTCAGTTTTGGAAGTCAAGTCAAAGCTCTCCAGGCATTCCTTGTTGGTCCTTCAGGGTGCTGGAGTATAAGCCCTACTAGGGGCCAATTCACTCATAATTATTCAGTTCAATTAATGTATTCAGCAGGTTCTTGTAGGGCAGTGGCATGCCCCTGCCTTTGGGCCAGAAGGTCTCAGTTTAAGTCCCACTTACTACATGTCCAAACAAGTTGATTTAAAATATTTTTTTCTTCATATTATTCTATTCAGACATGGAATCATGAGGACGCATTGCAACTATACTGCGTCAATAATTGCCACATTGAGTTCTATCAATTCAAGTCACTTGCCATCACAGCATCACCTTCTTGATTGGCTAAATCATATACTCCTTACTGAGAGCACTTTGGTGGTATGTGTGACAAAGGTTTGTATATGACTCTCCCCTGGTTTATAAATGTTTGTCTTTTAACCTTATATATGGTTATTATTCTGTGTTTTGCTACAGTTTGGCAGCACGGTGGCTCAGTGATTAGTGCTGATGCCTCACAGCACCAGGGACCTGGGTTTGATTCCACCCTTGGACAACTGTCTGTGTGGAGTTTGCACATTCTCCCATGTTTGCGTGAGTTTCCTCCGGGTGGTCCGGTTTCCTCCCACAGTCCAAAGATGTGCATGGTTTGGTGGATTGGCCATGCTAAATTGCCCATAGTGTTCAGGAATGTGTAGATTAGGTGGGTTATGAGGGATGGGACTGGGTGGGATGCTCTGAGGGGTGGTGTGGACTTGTTGGGCCGAAGGACCTGTTTCCAACTGTCGGGATTCTATAATGATAAATGCATTATTACACCATGCAGCATCACTTCACGGTCTCAATCGATGCCCAATGGATTGTGGTCTGCGCTGAGAGCTGATTGTACCATCTGTAAGCAGGGGGATCAATGCACATACATGGCATTGACCCTTGTCTAACATCCCTAATGTTTTCCTCCCTCCGTACACAAAGGTGTGTCTGTCAATGAAGTGGTCAGCAATGGCCGTGCCACAGAGATGCAACACACAGAAAAGGCCAACACTATAGGATTGCTAGTGAATAGGCAGCTTGTGTGCCTCTGTGCTGTACATTGCATGGGTCTGTGACAGTGTTTCTGGTATATTTAGTGATTTCTTTAATACTGATTACCCCTGGATGTTCAGTTCCCATCCTTGGTCACCTGCTGCCACATCTCTCCATAACTGGAAGTTATTTCAGCTAGGAATGCACAATGCTACACATGTATTTATGAGGCAACTGAGCATTTTAGCTTGAAATTCCTTCCCCACACAAATTTGGCATTTCCATTTCATAGTGGATAATGGATAACAGCTTTACATTTTGATGTCTTATGTAGATCTTTAAGTCTATTTTATCAGCCTAAGGTATCCATTTATATATGTAAAGCATCCCTTTAATGTAACACATCAAAATTAAAGCAAACAAAGTAGGAATAAAACACATTACCTTTAGGTTAACTGACCAAGGTAAAGTGGAAATAATATCTTTTAGATTTTTTGGAGTTGTCAATTGTGTGTCACTCTCATCATCCAATTCCCCTCGTTCCAGGCGCTGTAAGGAGAGAAAACAATACCACACGTAGGACACAGTGAAACTTGATATTATAGCAACAACATAAATAAAAATCATGAATTAAATCACAGTCTCTTAGGCATTACTGCAGAACAAACTGAATTTCTTTTGCCAGTCACTTATTACAGTATAAACTAGATGTCAGATAAACAGAGATGAGCAGGAATTTCAAGTTTCTAGAACTCTATCAATTTGTGCAAAGGAATAACTTCTGCAGTGAATGGGTCAGTGGCATTGGAAATGCCCATGTCAAACAAGCAAGTTAGTTACCTATTTACTAGAATGTCATCCTGTAAACCATTTCCAAAGGGATCTATTTATATCGCACATTTAACGTAATACAACTCCTCAAAAAACTTTGCAATTGCATTGTAAAGTAAAATCACATAAGTCAATGTCTAGAGGAATGGCCAAAAACTTGGTAAAAGCTAGGTTTTAAGAGGGGAGGTCTTAAAGAATCAAAGTGAAATAGAGAGGTAAAAGGTGCAGGGAAGGAATTCCAGATTTTAGGATCTAATGAACTGAAGGCACAACCACCAATGGTGGGGTTATTAAAACAGAGATGCTCAATAGGGCACAATTAGAACAGCACAAATACTTTGGAACATTGTAGGACAAGAGGAAATTACAGCGATAGGTAGTGATAAGGACATGGAAGCATTTAAAAGCAAGAATAAGAAGATTAAAATCAAGATGTTGGTTGACTTGGAACCAATAAAGGTTATCAAGAGGAGGGCAGCTGATTGAATGGGTCCTGGTGCAAGTAAGGACTTGGTCACTAGATCTTTGGATAACCTCAAGTTTTTGAAGGGTAAAATGTGAAAGTCTGGACAAGAGCCATTGGAATAATCATTTGTGAAGGTATCAAAGGTATAGAGGAGGATTTCAGCAGTAGATGCTTTGAGGTGGGGTGCAGTTGTGCAATGTTCAGAAGGTGGAAATAGATAACATTAGTGTGGTTGAAAGATGATCTATGGAGTCAAATACGAACGGAAATCCTCACTTAAAGTTCTAGTTGTGTTTCTGAACATAGCAACTTTAAGTGAAGCATGTTTTCCCAAAGGAGCAAGAGTAAGTTTACTGACAATGTTTTTGCCCAGAGAATCCAATGTTCAAGTTGATGTACAGAACCATACGTATGCATCAAATTCATAGATTCCCTACAGTATGGAAAGAGACCATTCAGCCCATCATGTCGCACTGACCCACTGAAGACCATCTCACCCAGATCCAGTCTCCCATCCTTTTCCCATAACTCCACTTTTACACAGCCAATCCACCTAGCTGCACATCCCTAGACACTGTGGGACAATTTACCCTGGCCAATCCAACTAACCTGCATGTCTTTGAACTGTGGGAGGGAATCAGAACTCCCAGCTGAAATCCACAACAGACCCTGGGCAACATGCAAACTTGACAAAACTACCAGGCTGGAACTGAATCTGGGTCCCTGGCACTGTGAAGCAGCAATGCTAACCACTAAGACATCATGCCAGCCAAGTGATTGAATGACTGAAACAAATCTAAGTAAAATATCCTTTCTTTTGTTTAGGATTTAAATAAAAGTAGTAGCATTTATACAATAGCACTTAAACCTATAACTTTAATGAATTAGATTCATAATCACTGCCTGAGCTCCAGTTGTTCCCTTAGTCAATTTGTCGGCTAGAAAAGTTTAATTTACTTCAGCTCCTAGAGTCGTAGAGAGTTATACAGCACAGAACCAGACCTTTCGGTCCAACTTGCTCATATCAACCAGATGTCCTAGACCGATCTAGTCCCATTTGCCAGCATTTGGCCCTTATCCATCTAAACCCTTCTTATTTATGTATCCATCCAGATGCCTTTTAAATGTTGTAATTGTGCCCGCCTCCACCACTTCCTCTGGAAGCTCATTCCATACATGCACCACGCTCTACTTGAAAAAGTTGCCCCATAGGTCCCTTTAATTCTTTCGCCTCTCACCGTAAACCTATCCAGTCTTGTTTTGAACTCCCCTACCCTGGGAAAATGTCCTTGGCTATTCATCCCATCTATGCCCTTTATGATTTTATAAACCTCAATAAGATCACCCCACAGTATCCAATGCTCTGGGGAAAAAGCCCCAGCCTATTCAGCCTCTCCCTATACCTCAAACCCTCTAATCCTGGCAACATCCTTGTAAATCTTTTATGAGCCCTTTCAAGTTTAATAAAACCTTTCCTATAGAAGGGAGACCAAAATTGAACGCAATATTTTAAGAATGGCCTCATCAATATCCTGTACTGCTGCAATATGACATCCCAACTCCAATACCCAAAGCTCTTACCAATGAAGGCAACCATGCTAAACACCTTCTTCACCATCCTGTCTACCTGTGGCTCCACTTTCAAGGAACTATGCACCTGCATCCCTAGGTCTCTGTTTGGCAACATTCCCCAGGGTGCTACCATTAATTGCGTAAGTCCTGCCCTGGTTTGCCCTACCAAATTGCAACACCTCATATTTATCTAAATTACACTCCATCTGTCACTCCTCGACCCATTGGCCCTCGACCTTGTTCACTGTCCACTACACCACCGATTTTGGAGTCATCTGCAAAATTACTAACCATTCCATACCATAACCATATTCACATCCAAATCATTGACATAAACGACAAAAAACGTTGGACTCAGCACTGATCCTTGCAGCACACTGCTGGTCACAGGCCTCTAGTCCAAAAAAACAACTCTCTACCACCATCCGCTGTCTCCTACCTTCAAGCCAATTTTGCATTCATCTGGTTAGCTCCCCCTGGATTCCATGTGATCTAACCTTGCTAATCAGTCTACCATGCAGAATGTTGTCAAACACCTTCTTGAAGTCCATATAGACAACGTCTACCACTCTACCTTCATCAATCTTCTTTGTCACCTTTTCAAAAAACTCAATCAAGTTAGTGAGACACAATTTCCCTCGCACAAAGCTATGTTGACTATTCCTAATCAGTCCTTGCCTTTACAAATGCATGTAAATCCTGTCTCTCAGAATTCCTTCCAACAACTGATGTCAGGCTCACCGGTCTATAGTTCCCCGATGTTAGGCTCACCAATCTATAGTTCCCTGACATGTCCTAGCTGAAATAATTTGCAAAATAAAATAAATCACTAAATATACAAGAAACACTGTATAATTTCAAAGCTCACCACCCTCTTTGAAGCAGTCCGCAGTTCCTCTACTGCAGGGATAACTTGTTTCTACATTATCTGACAGGTTCTGAGATACATGATCAGTCCAATTTGCAATCTGCAGACTCTGCCATGTGTGGGCAAATGTTATCTGGGAGGTCAGTTTCTCCCGGCATTAGTGTGTTCCAAACGAACCTTCGCACATTTGGTTGGTCACCATGAGTTGCTGGAGATCTTTGACATCTTCAGAAATGCTGAAGGATATCCTCAGAAATACAGTAGGGACATGGATTTAAATAATTTTCAGCCTCGATGCTGGGCATTTTTTGGCTTGAGAGAAGACATTGCTGTTGCACTGTCTTTCATGCTAACAGATTTTGAGGATCTTTTGAAGAACACTGCTAGTTTTGAGCTGACAACAGCATGCAAAAGCAGGTTTCTGGTGGAGTTAATGGATGAACGGCCGGATCATCCAGTGGCTTGAAAACCCCATCCAAGGATTGTTGAACAGTTCTTTTTTGTTCTTCTCAGTAGATCACCTTGAAGCAGTTAATGGCAACATTGATCTATTCGCTCTGGCATTGCATTCGCTGTTCAGGTCATTCCCAGTAAAGATTTCTATTGCCTCATCCATAAGTTGGAAAGTTCTCGACTCTTGCTTCTTTGACAAATCTTGAGAGCAGGTGGGGTTTCAGCGCAATCTTCTTCTTCAAAGCTCATTGACTCTCAAGCTGCATTAAGTAATCTTTAGACAATTCCTCACCAAAGTCCCCTGACTGATGATGTTGCTTTGATGGGTTTGGAGAAGGTAACAGGCCTTGAATATTGTGATTGCTGCCTGATCCATGGGATGAAGTCTTGTTCGGGAACGGGAGAACCACTTTCATATTTTTAGTGATTTCATCAAGATGGATAGGATGACATAGAAAATTATCCAACAGGAGCAATATATTGAAATATAGATCTTCTATAGTACAATAAGAGGAACTGGCAGGGATGGCATACAGGCAGAACAATGCCTGAAAGAGTGCCACCATCACCCAGGCTTGCTATTTGAGCACAAATGGTATGCATGTCCCCTCAAAGTCCCACACTGGTACACTACTAAGGCTTAAAATCTCCTGCAGCATTCCGATTGGATGGAATGTGTGGCAAGTTGTCATATTCCACATAAGTACAAATGTCACATGTGGAACTAGGAAAAGGGCTCTGCTAAGGGATTACGGGCAACTCAGGGCTAAATTAAAAGCAGAACTACAATGGAAATAGTTTCCAAATTGCTACTTAGACCACGTGAAAATTGACATGGTATAAATAAGATTAGAAAGACAAATGCTCAATGGTAAGTATGGGAGAAAGAGGTTACAATTCATTGGCTACTGGCACCAGTACTGGAGAAAGAGAGAGCTGTTCTGATGGGACAGGCTTTATTCATACCATACAAGGGACTGTTTTCTGATGAATGGTATAACTAGGGTTGCAGATAGGGCTTTAAAGTAATTGAAGGTAAGTATAAAAAAATCAAAAAGAGAGCAGAGGTTCAAGTAGTGAAGAAGTGAATAATAATTCAAGTGTGACAGGTAAGGACAGGAAATATAAGCAGAGGAGTGTAGCAGAAACTATAACGCTAGTAGAAAGTCAAAACTTGAGACTCCAATCTGAATATATGCAGCATTTGTAACAAGAAAGATGAGTTGGCAGCACAAATAGAAATAAATGAATATGCCTTAAGACTATTAAAGTGACATGGCTGCTGGGTGACCAGCACTGGGAACCCAATATTCAAGGGTATTCAAAATATATGCAAAAAAAAAGCAGGGGAGGTAGCTT